CAAAAACCCAATTTTATAACTTCTGAAAATGCCAAAAATCCACAATTCATAAGTTCACCCCGTTGGAGAACCATTCATTGCGTAATACTGCACAAACAACGACTGACTAGCAATATTACGTTTAGGAGGCGCGGTCGTCGCCGTAAATTTATGCAAAAGAGTACTTAAGTTTTAGCTTGAGCGCGCTTGAAGAGAGTCGAACGACGAGGGATTAAAGATATTTAAAGTGATATTAACCCCTTTCCGCTAAAATAAGACCATTTTGATTCCGTTAAAGCACCCCGTTTCATATATCATGCTGTAGGAACAAGGAAAGGATTGGATAATCAGTGTTATTAGTCAGAATTTACGTTTGGGTTGAAGCGAATTAATTGATTTTGCGTTGATTTCTTTAGAAACTGTATTCTATAAATTTTGACATGGAATCGGAGGTGTATTGGTGGTTGTTTGCTCAATAAGTGTGTGTGATTGTTTACCGAGTTGATATTTTCGGTAGTGCTTGATTATTGCTTGATAAATGTAGTGATTAGAATGAGGCACAATGACAATGCATCGTTAGAAGTGCAAACAAAATACCGAGTGTTGTAGGTTTGATTTAATGCGGTGAACAAGTAGAATACGGCTTGCTTGTAATTTACAAATTCAAGTTTTTTTTTGAAGGAGAGGTGTCTTTAGAAAGAGTGCCATTCAGATTTATTGACGATAAACAAATGTTGGAAATAAGCGGTGAACAATCCCAGTTGCAATTCATTCATCAATACGATGCTGATCTATCATTGTTTCTTTGATCATGAGATCGGCTAGACGGTAATTGAACGGCAATATTTTCATGAAGCTCGAACAATCGATTTTTTTTTCGGTTTCTGTGAACTTCCCGACTCTTCTAATTTGAAGATTTCTTATTGCTGAAAAATTTGTTGCTTTTAATGTTAGTGAGGTTGTTTGCGTCCGCACAAGCTGTACATGTCAATTTCTTTTTTCATTTTGTGTTGGCAAAGACAAGAAGGCGATCTGTTTCCTTCGAAAGATACGTTTAAGCGAATAAAAAACATCATTCGTTCTGCTCATACGAAACATCGCTTATCAAGCAGTATCACTCAGTCTGAATCACATTTGTTTACATTATCACACCATCACTTCCCTGTGAATTCGACACATTGTCTTCCGGAAACTGACTACTAAACGACAGCGCTTCTTGTTCCTCACTATCAGATACTGCAGAACAACTCGAACAATAAACAGAATGTCAACAATAAAACAGAATGCCTTGAACAAAACCGATCGAGTAGTACAATATGTATGTAACCCATTGCTGTTGCTATCCCAAAATACTGCAAAATGAAGTCGT